GCGTTCCCGGAAGTTACTTACTTCCGGGTTCGCCGACCAACCGGTTCGCAGGGACCGCCACGAACCGCCTGAAACCCACCCCTGCTATAAGTCAGGTAGTTGGGAGTTGGGAGTGTTAAGAAGGCAACAGAGAAATGTATTTGTGGTCGCAAAGGGTGATTATATATCCACGCGACGCCAGTTTCCATGCTGTTCTGCCCATTTAAAAACCCAGTGGAGGAGTGATGTTCAGAGCACATAACAAGGTCCCTCACAATGCGTCAGCAGTTAACAGGTCTCCATCCTCCTCCTGATGGAGACTTGGGAACGGGGTGAGGGGGGAATTCTGACCCACTTCACGGAGTGGCTCAACCGATGAAATTAAACCAACCCTTAAGAGACTGAATGATCCAACCACCCAGATCAATAGAGGAGTCCGTTCCCACAGAATGCCCGCTAAGAGCAATGTTACCAGCACAAGTGGGTGAACTCGCCAACACCCAAAGGTTTCGGGCCGTTTCAGAAGGTCTCCACAAACACAATGTGTGTTTCACTGCTGTGTTTGTTCGTTGCAAAAGAAGGAGCTTTGTTTGTGGGTCATTCCTAGTTCTGAGCCAATCCGAGCACCCACCAGGCCTGGAGGGAGGGAAGGGCTGGCACGAGGCGCTCTGTGCTGTGCCGGAGAGAAGCCCCGGCATTCTTGAAGGAGTGGGTGGGAGGGTGGAACAGCCATCTGGCCGCAATGGGAGAAGCCATTCTTTTTCTCGGAAAGCCTGCAGATGCAAGAGGTTGAGCCAGGCAGCGTCCAGCGGCCCCTGCGGGGAATCGCCCCTCTGTGCTGCTTTCAAAGAGACAATCCCCACAGGTGTTTTATCTCAGGAGATTTCATTCATATGGATGGATGGATGATTGGATGGATGGATGGAGGATGGATGGATGGATGATTAGATGGATGGATGAATGGATGGATAGTTGGATGATTGGATGGATGGATGATGGATGGATGATTGGATGGATGGATGGATAGATGATAGATAGATAGATGGATGGATGGATGGATGGATGGATGGATGGATGGATGGA